TGAGCTTGAAATATTTAAGTTGGAAATCTTTACTGACTTACTCTCGGTGATTTGTTGAGAACAAAAATGATGCAACTCTAATCCAAACACACATCAGTGGAAACAAAAATCATGAAGCGTTTGAGTGTTGAATTAAAAAAATGTTTCTTTAATATTTTGTCAGTATAGCATAAGATTATTTATTTGACCAGTATGAAAAGCTACACTTTGCGCTTTATCTTTGGTGAAGTTTTTATTAATGTTACAGCACATAATAGAGGTCATGACAGAGGCAAAGAAAGTGGAAATGATCCATAACAAAAGTCTGGCCAAGATACTGCTTCAGCGCAGGTGTTCAACTTAAAATCATTTTATACAACAGGAAAAAAAACATTCTTACTAAATAAAAACTTCAAAAACTGACATTACCACTACAAACCAACAGATGTCCTACAGAAACAAAAAACCTCTTTGTCCTTTCTTATGTTTTACTTTCTTTTTCTGGAACACACCCCATGACGTATGTTAACCTTTACGGGCATTTCAAAGTTTGTCTTCTTATCCATGCACATAAAATTCTGTTCATTTTGAAATGATGCCAAAAACATATTTGCAACCATCTTAATATGATGTTGATTATGATATATAATCATTTTTTTTTCACCTGTAGTTATTTAATGACAGAGAAAAAAAAATGCTCTGCTGATGCACAATGAGAACAATGAAGCCTTTAATCCACCAATGCAATGAACTCTACTGTGATTAATAGGCTTGTAAAACTTGTTTTTGTGATAATAAACAGAATGTATCCAGTTATTTGCACAAATCATATACATCTTAATTTTTCATTTGTCACACAAATAGGTGATTTCATGTCTCCCAACTTGCCATGAAGTTTTAACATTCCACGTAACAGAGTAAGCATGGTAGTGGTAGAAATTAGAGAGTCAACGAGCCATTAAATGCTAAACTGATTTCCTCTCCACAGATATGAATGATCGCCCCCTGTTATTGCGATTAGGATTAGGATTGAACTTTATTGTTATTACACATGTATAAATACAGGGTAATGAAATGCAGTTTGCATCTAATCAGAAGTGCAAGAGTTGTAATTGCAATAACAGCAGATTATTTACAAATAAGTTACGCAGAGAGCAAATATACAGATGTACTATGGGCAGATGTACAGATATACTGATATATACAGTTTAGTGCAGAAAAATGATGGAGTAGTTACAAACAGATTATGTACAGAGAGACCAAACATACAGATGAACAACAGACAAATGTACAGATGTACTGTTGTACACATATGTACATGTGATATACAGATGATCTGTGTAGCATACAGATGTTCTATATTGCTATATAGACGGGCAGATATACAGATGTACTATGAACAACTATACAGATCTGCTAAATATATACAGATGTAAGGTGTGTGCTAAACAGAGCTACAGAACCTATGACTATATCTACAGTAGTGGAGTGGAGTGCTCTGAACAGTCTGTAATAGTGAACAGTGTACACACTATAACA